ATTGCGAGAAAGCATTTAGAGAAATGAAGAGACCAACTCAGTTTTACATTATCCTCTCCAAACCCCCCCCACCCACATACAGAAAATATTTGAACTTAATTCTAACTAGATTTATGTTTTTGTTCCGAGGAAAGATTAAAATAATATTTTCCTTATAGTGGGTAGACCATCTTTTTCAAATTCATCGTCAAACCCCCAGTCTTCATCTTCTTTATTTGGCTAAAAAAATATTAAATTATTTTCATTTTCATATGTAAAAATTACGTTATTTTTTATTTGAATCTTGAAATGTTTTAATATTAAAATCATATATATATAATAATCAAAACTTTCAATGTTCAAATATCTAAATATTATGTGAATTCTGTATTTGAATATTTGAATATTTTAATTTTTCTATGATTTTTAGTTTAACTCTCAAAATTCGAATGATTCAATATTTCAATATTACAATATTTTAATATTTTAATTTTCAATATTTCAATATTTTGATAATTCAGAATATAAATATTATTTATTTCAAAATTTCAATACTGTCCATTTTAAGTAATCTATTGATCTATCAATCTATTGATCTATCAAACTATTGATCTATCAATTTATTGATCTATTAATCTATTGATCTATCAGTTTATTCATCTATCAATCTATTGATCTATCAATCTATTGATCTATCAATATCAATCTATATTTTATCTTACTATATTGGTAACTGTTGGATCGGTAAGCTGGAGATTTTCTGGAAACTTTAAAATTGGAACTTTTATACACATATCCTGAAATAGGTATTTTTATACACATATCCTGAAATAGATATTTTTATACACATATCCTGAAATAGGTATTTTTATACACATATCCTGAAATAGGTATTATTATACACATATCCTGAAATAGGTATTATTATACACATATCCTGAAATAGGTGTTTTTATACATATATCCTGAAATAGGTATTATTATACACGTATCCTGAAATAGGTATTTTTATACATATTTCCTAAAATAGGTATTTTTATATGGTGGCATGGAAGGCTATTATATCAATATAATGAAGACAACTTTCTATTTCAATTTTGATTTATATCAAGCTTTTAAACTGAACGGATCCACAAAAATATGAAAGGGAAGCTGGTAATAAAAAAGCTTCTTTTTTATGACTCTTAAACTTGTAATTCAAAGAAAAGCTTGCTAATTATTAAAACTGAAATAAAAAGTCCTTTTATAGATTTCCTTAAATAGGAACTTTTATAGATATATCCTGAAATACTTTTACACTCATATATTGAAATAGGTACTTTTAAATATATCATTAAAATAATTAGTTATTTGCAATCTCGTTAAATATAAAATGTATATGTTCTAAAATAGATAGGTTCTTACATACTTTTCATCATTTGTTATCTCAGAAATAATAAAACATATTTTGGCAATTTTTATGTTATTCGGTTCTCAATCTCGAGGCTACAGTGATAACCAGAAAATTCTGGAATAGGAAGACGGCTTTTAGACTCAAGTTATGACTTTTAATAGCCTAATGTACATGAAACACGGCAATTGTGCAAGGTAAACAGACCTATTTTTCTTAATAAATCATTTAATAACTCACTAGTAAAACTATTTGCTTTGTGACAACATCAAATGCACTTAGTATTGCATTAATTTCGTCTCCCTATTCCACAGTTTTCTGGTTATCACTGTAGCTGTAGTGTTTTTATCTAACTTTTCACGAATGAAAGAATTTATTTCAAATTTGAGTGGAGTTATATTGAATTTAATCAAAAGCTTTTAAATACTTTTCATTGACAGAACAAGTTGTGTTGATTTCAGAAAATTTTAGAATTGAGAAAATTCCAAACACGAAACATCTCCTTTTTTATTATTAATAACAGGAAAAATAAAATTACTTGCATAGCTTATTTTCACTTTGTTCAACATTCATTATTTTATTTGACAAATTCTTGATTAGAGCTATTATTGCTTAAACTTAACTTAATAATTATTTTTTTGTTTGTTTACAGTATAAAAAATCTTGCACGGAAATTTTTCTGAAAACTTTTTGCTTAAACTATTAGCATATGTTGTAAATATTTAAAACTGTTGTGATGTGAATCCCAGGACTAAAGGGACTGTAGGCGTAATTTCAAGTGACCCTCCATGCAAAGATTACAAGGCCCGATTTACAACAATATCCTTAAAAGGTTTGGCTAATGAAGGTTGAATAAGATAGCAATGTTCATCATTAAAGAAAAATGAATATTTTCAATCGTGATTTCTCAACAAAAGTGAGTGGCGTAATTTTCTGAAGGAAACCATATAAAATTATCTAAACACTTTAAAACCTAGAAAAACGAAAATATCTTCAAAACTATTGATCTGATAAATGATTCATGGGTATCATTGTTAATCGGGCATTTCCATCCTTGCGCCATCCCTTCCCCCTTTCATCTAATCACCTTGAACCGATACAGTTGTTTCCACATGCATTCCTTAAAACCTCTTTTGCGCAATCATCCAATACTTATTTCCTGTTCATACCTTGAATGTTTTATCCTGCATTGTAAGTTTTTCAAGATCTTTTCTTTGTTTGTAAATTGCTTTTATCACAGTTGGTGTCAGCACATTATCAGCCTAGAAAACATAAATTATGAAATTAAAACGGAAAAATTACAAACTATTTTTTATGATTAAATTGAAAATGTTTTAGACATTACTTCTTTAGAACAGAAGGTATAAACAGCAGGAGAAAGTCAACTTCGTTAATTCTATATGACTTGTGACATCGTAGCTCCTTTAGTTTTGAATGTACGCACAAGTATTAGAAAACCAATTTTATCCAGTTACACATTAGAAAATCAAAACATTTTCCTTCATCTCAATATACACCAAGACATAAAAGATTACTATCCAACGAGCAATTTACTTCAATTAAAAAAAATATTGAAGGGACAGACCGGCTATGTAAGTTAGTTAAACTGAGTATGCAGTGTTGTGGACAAATTCTTTAAAATTCATTTGAGACATATAAAACGTTTCCACGATGTATAATTACTGAGTTTGAGTGCATAGTCGACGTTCAAAATCATGATTTTGGGTGGGTACGTTTTCAGAATCGGTTTATTTAAATTATTAAATAACGACGACGAAAAATAAAGAAAAAATTATATTATACAGTTACTAAGTAAATGTTTAGGAACATATTTCTCAAAAGAAATTTGTCAATAAATCGAAGTTAGGATTAATTATTTCCTTTTTCATTATTATATTGAATTTCTTATTTTCTATGAATTTGTTCTCAAATTTCTTCAAATTCTTTAAATGTCGTCTTTTCAATAAAAATTCCAGAAAATCTGCAGAAAATCTTTTTGATTAAAGAGAAATTATAGAAACTAATCATTGAATAAGATTACTTATTTTCGATGATAAGAGTTAATTTTTATTTTCTCAACCTGTTCCTAAACAACTAATTAGTTTACTGTAGAATTTTGTTTACATTTTTTGTCGTCGTTAAAAAACAATTCTGAAAACATAACCACCCAAAAGTACGGTTTTGAACGTCGACTTTGCGCTCTAACTCAGGATCTACAGATCTTTAAAAAGATTCATATGTCCAAATGAATCCTAAAGAATTTGTCCACAACACTGCATATACTCAGCTCAACTACCTTACATAGCCGGTCTGTCCCTTTAAGCCAAAGTGAATATATTCTACCTCATAAATTATTCTGTGAACTCGAATTTCTTGGGGGAAATTGTTATCCAACCAGTCGATATCATTCCTAGAAACAAGATTTAACAAATCATTAAATTATTCTTTTTTATAATTTAATTGGATTTTTAACTTATTTAATTCGCTTATTTTACAGCTAGAAAACATTGTCACAAAGGGAGAGGAAATAAATCTAAAATCTTAAACGAAATTAGTGCTTTAAGGATCCCGAACTGTTGGTTTCGAAAAATGTTGGCTTTGGATCCTGATTCAAAAGGCAAAACAAAAATCCTGGAAAATTCCTATAAACAAGATTTAATAAATCATTAAATTTTTCTTTTTTTATAATTTAATTGGATTTTTAACTTACTTAATTTACTTATTCGTCCGATAGTATAGAAAGGAAACAAAAGTTGGAAATCAGTGCTATGGATCCGGATCCAAAATTGCTGGATCTTCAAAATTTTGGCTTTCTGGATCCGGATACGCAAAAAAATATGCAGATTCCTGATCCTGATCCAAAGAGCAAAATATCAACCAAAGTCTGCTTAGAACAAATTTTTGCTCAAATCTCAACTTCCTAATCTCTCAATGCTTTATTTAGTTATAGCGCAAAAACCATCGAAAAATTTGTAAAATTTTCTGTTTGTTCTTTAAAAATTTGTCAGGACCTGAATCCCGAGTATTTTTTCTGGCAGATACAGTATCCGGATTTAGATCTGCATTAAAATGAAATAGATCCTAAGTACGAGAAGTGTGTAAAACTCGGGTCTCCAATTAAAGAGTAAGGAACGTTCGATTCACAATCCTTCAAACAATGAGAACAATGAGAATGATCTACAGATATTCTATCATGTAGAGAATTAAATTGTGAAAATTTCCTTCATTGTCTCTGCAACATAAATCCACAAGTCAATTCAACAAAGAAACCTCATTGGAAGTTTAAATTTAAAGCTAGAAAAATGAGAATATCTCATTCATAATAAATTCGATAAAGGTTTAAAGTGTGAATTGAACATGTCATTCTATAAATTCAAGCTCATTTGAAGAAAAAAAGCACATTGTCATATCTAAATTATAATTCATCAATTGTAGTTTTTTAAGTTTTAATCTCAAAAGTTGAAGACTCATGACTAGCTTATCTTCAAAATTCTCTATTTTTTTTTCTTTGCAACCTAAAGGTGTAGATCTCTATTATTTAAAATTATGAGCTATGTTTAACCTGACAGTCAGAGTTTGAAATTACAAATGTTTTTACCATCAGGATATATACAGAATATAGTTTACTTGTGTAATTGATCAGTGTTATCGTAAGAAGTTGGTAATTTGTAATTAATATTGTCTATTTGAGTGTTTGAACAAATTTCACTGTTTATTTTTAAGATAACATGGACGGAGGTAAAAACATTTGTATTATTAAAGGGAGTGTTCGCGAAAAATGAAAGGGGGTTTAGGCTTACGGTAACAAATAATCATCGATAATTTTTCGACGTATTCGTATATAGTTGATTTTTCATAATATTTTTTAATTGTAATGTTTTAATAGTTACTTTTGAAAACATTTATTCCTGTTTTAGAATTTTTGATAATGCAGACGACATTTTCATATTTTCCAGGAATGTTCGAAAACAAGTTGTAAGGTTAATATGATTATATGTTATAATATGATTATAGGTTATAACAAATTTTTTCCGCTAGGCGTCTCTGCCACGTGGAATCAATCAGAGTAGAAACACTTAGCGGCCAACTAATCGCGGCGTATTAAGTGCATTGTATATAAAACAAATAACAAATAATTTGAAATATTAACTATATTCGAATGCGTCGAAGAATTATCGATGATTATAGGTTATAATATCTGAATGATTTGTTCGGAATTAAATTGATTTTTTACGATCCGAGTCGAATGTTGCAACTCTCTGAATTTGTATGGACGCTACTTTCTTCGGTATGAGCTGTGTTTAACAATTTTCTCCTTATAGACACAACAGATAGAAGCAAGATTAGTAGCGATCACCATAGATAATTTTTAGCCGGAAGTCTTTATCCCCTTTCATTTTTCGCGAACACTCCCTTTTTAATAACAACATCAAATACATAAAATTGCTTTGTTGTCGTGTTCTATATCCACAGTTTATTGGGAATCACGATATATCCCCTATTTTTTTAAAGAGTAGATCATCATTTTCTCCTTATCTTTTTTGGGTGATAAAGAATCCTGAAAACTTTAATTTTAAATTTTTTGAATTATAATTATTTTTTTACCTAAATTTTGAATTACGAGGAATAACAAGAGAAGCCGCATCTCCCTCTTCGTAAAACCTAAAAGTAATTTTAATTTTTATTCATTTTTTCGTCTTTATTTAAGAAACTATCGGCGAAAATAAAATGAATAAAGGTGACATTGTTTTCCTAGCTTCCTTTATAAAAGGAATTAAGTCAAACAAACTCTAATTTGCTAATCCCTATATCTTTGCAACTCAATGTTCCAAACTTTAAATATATTTCAAATTATGATTACTGTAAGATAAAAGGATCTAAGTTAGAAATATCAAAGGTTTACACCATTAGGTTCCAAAGACTATGATATTAGAAAATTTAAGTTGATGGCAAAGATTAAATTCCTTTTTATTATTATTTTTGTATTATCATTATTATTATTATTGACCTGATAAGTCCTAGACCTCCCAGAAAAGTTGCAAGAATACACGCTGCTATAGCTGTCCTAATGATATATCATAATAAAGTTAGAGGAAATATATATTCCACTTTCCAGAAAACAATAATTAAGAAATAGTACAGAGGAACCTAAAAATTAACACTAATAAAAGTTTCCGGGTTCTTGAGTTAATTTTACTTTTAAATTCTCGAAAAAATGTCATTTCTGTTTAATTAAAAATGCTATATCTATTTGTTTAAAAAAGAGCTTAAAAAAACTAAGCTTTTAAGGGCGCTTCTTTCTAAGAAGCCAAATACTTAAATGATGATCTTAGATCTTTACCTTGGATTACAAGCGACCTTCTCCCCATACCAAGTGAAGAAATGCTCCAGGCTTCCAATGACTCCATACTGGCAAAGTCGAACTAAAAATTAGATCAAATAAATTTATGTGCAATGTTATACTAATACTAGGGAGTTTTATCATCTTTCTGGTCCTGATAACAAAATGACAATATTTTGAAATAATAACAGTTTAGAAATATCTCACATTTTCCTATTTTCATTTTCAAATGGACGTTTCAAATTTTATTAATCCAAATTATTTTGGAGACATTTTTTAAATTCTGGCCGGTCATAAGCCAATTCCCTTGGGGAAAAATATAAGTTTGACTGTTTTCTATTGTATATTTTATTTACTGTTTTCAAACCATAAAAATTTATGAAATGGAGCCTGCACAACTTCCAAAAAAAATAATTATTAAAAAAAGTATTTTTACCGAGTTTTTGAAGTTTTGTCAGATTTTTTATTCCACCAGGGTGAACAGGTCCCAGGGAATCTAAAAAGAATATTTGTTAAAGATGTATTTTCTAAGTTTTATTATNAGGGGAAGAAAAAATAAGGTATTAGTTGACAATACACCCCCTGATTGACCAGTAAAAATATATTTATTTCTCCCAATTGAAAGAGAAAAAATCCTAGAAAAGTTTTGGATTTATAATTGGACATCAAATTAAAAATATTCACTTCAGAAACTACTTCATAGTACATTCTCTTCAAAACTCAGTAATCAAAACAAAATCATAATACTTGCCTAAAAATGAAATTTTGGCGCCAGAATTGGCATCATATCCGTTTGAAGCCATTTTAAAGGGATTTTTTTATTTTTTATTCATATTTTTGCTCTTAACTTTTACTTATTTTAAAAGATGCCATTTATAGCTCCTGTTGTTTGTTTGTTAGAAAACCAACATTTTAATTCTGAAATATAAAAAATATAAAATATTGTTACGATTGTCCCGAATGGTCGACATTCAAATAAAGCATAATAATTGAAAAATATAAATCCTAAAATGTCAAAAACTATGTAAAAAAAACTATATCAAAATCTGAATGGGATTTTGTTCCAGTTTTGTGATTTGAAAAGTATCGAACCCTTAACTTATTTAAATGGGCGATAGGTTAACTTTTACACATTATTACAGAGTTTAAAAATAAAGGACTCACGACCTTATTTGAAGTAATTTAACCATTAAAACAGTTGAATTCCAGATTCACATCTGTACTTTTAACACTTTATCTGATAAAAAGGGGAGTTGATCTTTCTGAAAATGTTATAATTTTCAATTGCAATTCTCTGCAAAAATTAAAACGTGACTTGCGGCGGAGTTGTGCAATTAAGAGAATTTGCATCTTTCCAAAATTATCTTCATTAATCATGACAAGTACTCTAAAAAGAGACTAAAGGCCGCCACCGCCCACCACAGGAAATCTGGCATCTAACACTTTAAAATGAGGTTTACTTGAACAAAAGATCGACAGTTTCTTATACGAGAACAAAAATTAAGATTATTTCTTGAATCTAACAACATTGCGTTCTAATTTACAATCTTTACTTAACAAGTTGGCACCAATAGAAATTTCTTTCTTAAAATAATATTTTTTTTTAAATAAGTTGGGTTATTTTTACTTTGCAAAATTTTGTATTTTTGTTCGACAGAAAATATGAAGGATACATTTAATTTGAATGTATTTCAAGATATATTTGCTAAAACCTCATTTCCTTTGATATCAAAATCTGAAAGATATGGAGAGATGAAACATCAAGAGCGGATATTAGTTTTTTATTTAATGAAAATCCAATATTTAGAGACTGAGGACGTAATTTATTGAGATGAAATATTTAGCATTTTCAAATTTGGTTTTTTTTCTCAGTCAAATTTAATTAGGATTAATGCTTCATCGAGACGATGAAGAAAAATGGTTAGAATTTTTATTTTTTTATTTTTTTTATTACAAACTCTGATTTTCTATTCCAAAATATCTTTGCAATCTAATGCATGTAACCAATATTGCCAGTCTCTACGGATAAACTTTAAGTGCACGAAGTGTGCGAGCAATTCTATCTGCTTAACCTGTCCTTACTAATACTAAAATTTATTTTCTAAAGATACTACTATAGTGCTCGGACCGACGTAGCGGTCAGCGCTTTCAATACAAAAATATATTTACAAGGTTAGGGTTTACTAAGATAGATATTTATTTTTATTACATGCATAATGGATAGACCTTAAATGATTTGAGCAACTATGAATTTGTTGGATCAAGTAATCTAGGTATGAAATATCAAATGTTTACACCATCAGGTTGAAAAGATATAGGGATATAGAAAATTTAAGTTTGAGGCAATCACTTAATTCCTTTGAGTTTAAGGCGAGAAATCAGTTCCTTATGTCTGAATACAATAGATTGGATGGAGTGTTTAATCAGGGTGCAATTCTGATACATGGTGATGTTGAATCAGGGTGCAATTCTGATGCAGGGTTCTGAATCTATATATAAATTTGGCTTGTCTGTCTGTCTGTCTGTTTGTCTGTTTGTTTGTTTGTTTGTTTGTATCCAATAAACGTCAAAACGGCTGAACCGATCGGGCCCAAATTTTTTGTGGGACATCCAGGGACTTCAGGGAAGGTTTATGAATCATCAAAATTTCAAATATTTGTTTCCATCAAAATTCGATCGTCATTAAATTTTTAAAAATTTTGAAAATCCGCGAAATTTTTGTGAAAATCCGCGAATTATTTTTGTTTTGTTTTACGATGTACACAAAGAGAACATGTTCACAAAGAGAACATGTTCACAATTAATTTAGGAGATGGGCGCGAAGCGCCCTCTAAGGCTAGAAAGAAGGGCGCGAAGCGCCTTGAATTTCTAGTACAATAGATTGGATGGAGTGTTTAATCAGGGTGCAATTCTGATACAGGGTGTCTCACACTTCACATGACGATTGAGACACGACTTAAAGGGACTGTAAGCTTAACTTCAAATAACCCTCATGTAAAACCTAAAGATTGTGCAGTAACTGTGACGTATTTAAGTTAAGAACATTCCCATGGTTCTCCCGAGTTCCCCAATCAAAATTTGAGGCAAATTGATCTTGTGATTCCTGAGTTACGATCGGACAAACAAATAGGCAGACAGACAGATAAAGATTACAACTTTATAATATAAATATAGATATTTTACAACACCCCAAATAAAATTGTGTATTCCTTTATCTATTTTGTAAATGTAACACTATAAAGTGCATGCTGGAATTGCATAACCGTGCACTGCACACTGCTTTAAATGCAAGTCAGTGCAACTACCGTCTGGAAAAACCGGTTTTATTTTAGTTTCACAGGGAAGAGATTTAGGTGATTAATGCATGGTTGACGTACAGTGATAACCATAAAACTCTGGGATCAACTTTTAGATTAAAGTTGTGACTTTAAGCGGTTCAATAAACATGAGGTACAGCAATTGTGCAGTGTAAACACATCCATTTCACTTAAATGTGATTTATTAGGTGGATTGTAAAACTGTTGACTTTGTGACGATATTCCACAGTTTCCTGGTTCTCATTGTATAAAACTATTTCGCCAATTCGATTATTTTTCGCTTTTTTTCTCAATATTTTATTGGGCTTTGTTTTGAATTTTAAAACACGTAATAATTGAGGGATTCGAAATTATAAATGATAGAAAATTAACGCGAGTATAATTAATTTAAGTTAAACTAAAGTAAATTCCACGCAAGATTGCAATCTTATATGTTCAAGTATAACTTCTTCTATTGAGTCTATTGAGAGGGTATTGAACTTGACAAAAATGTTTTGAATTTCTAAGGAATTGAGTCTTCTTAACAACCTCAAATTTTCTAATCCCTATATCTTTGCATTCCAATGACGAACCCAGGGAATGTTTGTGGGTGATCAAAATTTCAAAAATTAACCGCCAACAGAATTCGATGTTAACTAAATTTTGAAAATCCACGAATTTTTTTTTGTAAAATCAGCGAACTTTTTTGTTTTTGTTTTACATTGTATAAAGAGAAAATGTTCACAATTGAAATAGTAGATATACAATCTACTTCATTCATTCATTAAATCCAAGACATTTTTTTATAACATTTTCGAATTTGTTTTTAAGATATTGTTTTACAATGTTATCCAACGAGAAAATGTTCATAATTTAAACAGAAGATGGGCGCGAACTGAAAACCTAATTAAATAAAAAAGAGACAATTCACGGAGTTTTACCGACAATAACCCATAATTTTTATTTGAGCTCGAGGTATCCTATTGTCTTGATTTAAAGCGTATCTAAAAGTTATTCCCGTATAAAACAATTATACCTTATTAAAAAATTCATAAATATAAATGAATTATCGTACCAACCAAAGGACTACATTTATTTATTAAATTCAAGAACTTTACAAGAAAGTTAAACGCTTTAGGAAACATTTATTTACTATTCCTATTTTTATGTTTTTGTGATCTAAAAACAATCATAGAAAAAATCAAATAATTTTTTGTAAATTAAAAAGTAATAACCTTTTCTAAGATAGGTTTAAATTAATTGGTCAAGGAAAACAGCTGTTAAACTGTCTAGTATTCTTATTTGTATGTTTTTGTGATATAAAAAACAATCATAGAAAAAAATCAAATAATTTTTTGTAAATTGAAAAGTAATTAATAACTTTTTCTAGGATAGGTTGAAATTAAATTGTTCAAGGAAAACACCTGTTAAACTGTTCAGTATTCTTATTTATATAATTTTGTTGTTTAAAAAACAATCATAGAAATAATCAAATAATTTTTTGTAAATTGAAAAGTAATAACTTTTTCTAGGTTAGGTTGAAATTAAATTGTTCAAGGAAACACCTGTTAAACACATGTAGTGCAATATTCAAGAACTTAGTCATAACGAAAATTCTCTTCTGGACCGTAACTGGGGGGGGGGCACACGCTTACCCCCCTTCAAATATTATCCTTGTGCGATTAAATTTAGGGATTTATGAAGTTCTTTGCCCCCCAATTTACCCTGTGTGACCCACCTTGCAAAAACTTTCAGATATGGGCCTGATTCCATTGTACAACCCCCAAGGCAAAATCCTATGGCCGGCCCCCGGCCCCCTCCCCGCCCACTTCCTCACTCCCTTCCCCCCTCCTTTACTAATGTCTAAAATAGATATAACACGTTTATTAATACATAAAAAGTCAATTGCACAACCGCGCAATTTGACTTATTCTTATCTAGAAATCCACTCTATCAAAATACTACAATGATCAATAATAAGGAAAAGCGTAGCATCTTATTTTATTGTGTTTTGAATATAAACAGAGTATTATATGTCTTAAAGGGAGTGTTCGCGAAAAATGAAAGGGGGTATAGGCTTACAACGAAAAATAAGGGCTTTTGATCGCTACTAATCTTACTTCTATCTGTTGCGTCTATAAGGAGAAAATGGTGAAACACGACTCATAGTGAAAAACGTAGCGTCCATACAAATTTAGAAAGTTGCAACATTCAACTCGGATCGTAGCAAAATCAATCTAATTTCAAGCAAATCATTCAGATATTACAACCAATAGTCATCGATTATTTTTCGACGCATTCGAATATAGTTAATATTTCATAACATTTTTGTTTTTTTTTAAAATAATATTTCGCTGGCGCCGGATTTTTCCTGGAAAATATGAAAATGTCGTTTTCATAATCTAAAATCCTCGAAACAGGAATAAAAGTTTTCAAAAGTAACCCTCAGATCATAAAAAATAAAAATACTATGAAATATCAATTATATACTGATGCGTCGAAAAATTATCGATGCTTATTGGCTACGTTCTTCGGTATAAGTCGTTTTTAACAAATTTCTCCTTATAGACGTACGCAACAGA